CTCTTCGCATATTGTTTGAGAGGAGTTTGCTCTGAGAATTCTAAGGGCCTCTCCTTTTATTAAGCCTTTCTTAACTCCCTGTGGGTGACAGGAACTATAGTGTGTATACTGAAATGTCTCAGTTTGTTTAAAATGAGTATGCACATGAAGGATTGCGTCCTTTTCGAATTGTTTGCTTTTATAATTATAGATGTAGGTGTCCAGGAATCTTGTATCCTTATCGGAAATTTCAGCCGTAAATTTCATTGTTGGATGATGATTGTTTGCTTTTTCAATGAAACGTTCTATTGTTGCTTTGTTTGTACTCCATGGCGAGAAGATCATCGTCTATGTTACGTTTCCAAACAAGCAGTTTGAAAAGGCTTTTGTCAAGGATTTCAGTATACAGCACAAAGTTAAGTATTGTAGTTAACACTATCAAGTGAAAAACTCTTTCTAGAACACGCATTTACCCGGTGTTGACAAAGTTCCAAGTCATGCATGCTTCGGCTTTGGGAACGGTATGAAGGCTTTCCGACCGTTTTTAAGCATTTCTTTAGGTGGATTAAGCGAATCTGGCAATCTTTCTGGATATTTTGAGTCATTTTTACATGTACCCCAACAGCAATGCCTAGTTGCAACCATTTTAGAAAGTTAGAGCATTTTTTGAGCGAAAATAGTCTTGCTTCTGACACGTTTTGCATACAAGTCATTGTAAAGACTCCAAGTGTTTGTCCTAAACCTGCGGGGGGTCCAAAGATGACATATCTATATTTAGACCTGGCGCGCAGTGCTATTGATAACATAAGTATGCGTTATTAACCAAGCATGAGGTCAAGATGGCTGGATATTGGCTGAGTTCTTTTTTCGCATTTCTATGGACTGAGACAAATTAAAGTCAAAGTCCATAACAATGTGAAAAAAGAAGGAGGCTAATGTCCAGCTATCTTGACTGAACAAGCTTGGTTAATGAAGGATTTATTATAGTGCAAAAAGATTTTGCTTTATTAAGAATTAAAAATGACTTGTTTACTTCAAGTGCCAGGAAAGAAAGCCAACTATGTTTCTAGCGTAACAAACTCACAAGAGTCATTTCTGTTTTCTTTGTTTTGACTATCTTCTGCTGCTTTTAGCAATTCCATTGCCAAGATTGTCCAAGAATTACGAATGCAGTTCTAATTCTATTTTTTTCATGCATGCGATCAATACGAGCAATTGTGAGAGGACAAGATGGGCCCATCTTGCCCACTCGGGTAGCCAATTAGAACACAGGATTCGTTTCATCGTGCCCATGGGCACTGCGAGCGATGTTCCTGTCATGGTCAACTCAATAACCTTTTATTGGATACCTTACCAACTAGGAGAAGTCTTGAAAAATTAACTAGTTTAAACGACCTAGACTTGTTTAGTCTTAACTCGGAGAGTGATATAAACCCTGACCTTAATCTTGTTAAGCCAAAACTATGAAGTCGTTATTACTCTCCTCATAGTTTTAATAAATTTAAAGCTAATCTTTCCGAACCTGGCCGTTGCGACGGAACTTTTTCTCTCCTTCATAATAATGTTAGAAGCCTGCGACATAATCTTGATGATTTTCAGATTCATTTATTAGAAGAATTATGGTATAGGTGTAGTGTTATTGGAATCACTGAGACAAAGATAACTGATGCAAATTCTCTTGATTTTAATCCAAAAATTCCAGGCTTTTTGTTTGAATACGTTCCAATGCCTTTAGCCACTGGAGGTGTTGGTGTGTATATTGATGAAACCTTTTATTATGTAGTGATAGAAAAAACATCAGAAGAGGCTTTTCAGGCATTATGGATTGAAATCCAATTGAAAAACCATGCTAATGTAATCTGTGGAGTAATCTACAGGCAGCACAACTCACCCGAGAGATTTCAGGAGTATTTTGATCAAACTCTGGAAAAGCTTAGCACTCCTGGCAAACCTATTTACCTTATGGGTGAATTTAATATAAATCTTCTTAAATGTGAGACTTGCAATTATGCTCATAACTTTCTCCTCTCTTTGCAAAGTCTTTCTTTTATTCCTACCATCGATAAACCTACAAGAGTTCATGGCAATTCAGCCACTTTAATTGATAATATTTTTGTAAATAATATTAAGGGAACTGTCTCCAGTGGTAATATTGTTTATGACATTAGCGATCATTTTTCACAATTCTGTATCTTCCATTCCTTTGGAGGTAAAACCCTACTTCAAAAGAAAGGAATTCGCAACTATTCACATTTTTCCTTGACAGCTTTTATATCATATCTTTCACAGATTTCATGGGATTCCCTTGGTACGCATAATCAAAACAATGTTGACCGTTTGTTCTCAAATTTATATAATTCATCAAATAAAGTCATAAATAAGCATGCTCCTCTTAAATGGATATCTAAGTGTCAAGTTAAACAATTCTCAAAACCCTGGATAAAGAAAGGCTTGCGAAAATCTATAAAAATTAAAAACTCTCTGTTTCAGTCAGGAGACTTTGGAACTTATAAAATTTACAGAAATAAAATCCTAACTCTCTCGCGACTGAGCAAGAAAAACTATTTTCATACTTAGTTCAGTGATAATATTAAAAATTTGAAAGAAACCTGGGCTGGAATAAACTCCCTAATTCGTCAAAATAGTCACAAGTCTAAAGCAATACTTGAACTTAAGCAATCAAATGGTCAATTAACCCGAGACCCCTCACAAGTGCCGAATGTTCTCAATGACTATTTTTCTTCTGTTGGTTCAAATCTGGCGTCTGCGATCCACACATCTAATCGCCATTTCTCTGACTACATGCCCCCGTGGGATTACTCGAACTCTTTTTTCTTCAATCCCGTAAGTGAACCAGAAGTTGAGTGAGAA